TGAGTCCAAAATTTCTTTGCAATTTTACATGTCCACCACATATGGTAAAACAACCCCTAGCCTACCCATTTCTCATTGTGTAGGATCAGACACCAGAGTTCTTCCCTAGGGCTGCAGATTGCTGGATGATCACTAATTGGCAGCAGAGAGCTGGATAGTTACGTACCTTTCTTCTGCCATCTAGTGGCTGTGCACATCTTTTCAGTTCAGATACATTAGCCCTATTTTTCCCGTCATGCATGAACATCATTACTATGCTTCATCCACAATAGCTGTGGTTTATACTGCTTATGCCCCACAACTCTGATTTTAAAAAGTTTGCATGTGTACCATTTGAAGCACTGATACAAATAAGTTTTGTGGTCCCTGAGGATTTCTTTTTAAAATTAAATCCATTTTTGTGTTGAGTCATCAGTTGTGTTTTGTAGTGCAAGATGGGAATGCACAGCACTGTTTGCTGGACTTTGTGCAAGCCTGTAGCACTGAGATAAGCACAACTGTGGGTATGCATTGCAACAGCTTCCTGAATTAGGAAGTCTAACTGTCCAGCTTAAAGCATTTATAAATAGACAGTTTACACTAAATGGACTTGATTTACTGAGCTGTGTCCATGTTTCTTGAAGAAATTATGAAACTAACTCTCAAAGCATTTAATTACAAGATAGTGATACAATAGTAATATAGCAGTAAATAACGCTAGAAAAATTAACATTCTGTGAGAGGTTGTCACAGTTTTATATTTAAATCTGATCCTCTGAAATGAAATCATACTTCCTATCTGTCAGTTTAACAGCAGCTGTAAACAAAACTGAAGGGACCCAAATCTTTCAACATGCTTTGCCTTTTCTCGTCTGGTGCCCTCCAGTTTTGGTCTGCAAGTCCTAAAATTTTCCGTCAGCATGAGGGTTGTAGTCCATCATATCTGGGGGACACCAGATTGGGCAAAAGATACTTTAAATTTTATACTTTGCAGTAATCACGAATTGTGTTTAAAGTATGCCCATTGCTCAGAGTGAACCAAAGTACATTTTACATAGGTCCATCTCTTGAGGCTAATCAATATACTGATAGATCACTAATTTACCAGATGTACTTTTTCTTCTTCAGAATAACTCTTAATTATTTGAGTATTCAGGAGTTTCATTTTCAAGTCAGAATGGGGCCATAGCAAAAAGCTATTTCACAGTTTTCTGTGAAATGCCTGGGTGCATGTGTAAGACGTATTGGCATTAAACATGTACAGTATGTTGGTTATTGCTACACCCACATTATTACTGAAATTACTTGACATGCCAGTTCATAGATTAAATCACAGTTTGGGGCCACTGTCAGGGAAATAAAAGCACTTTTCCAAAATAAGATGTGTTCTTACCTTTGGTTGACACATTTATCTAAGACATTTGAATTTCTTTCATTTCTTCTGATGAATTCCGCCAGAATTCTCAACTTTCTGCTTTTGCTTTATAGATCTTCAGCCCATCCGAGAGAGTGTAAGCCAAATATTAAGATCTCAGTATAATCCTTTTGCATGAATAGATATTTTTATCAGAAGGTTGATTATATGTTAATGGTTAATGCTGATGATTAGTACCTGCTTTGCCCATATTTTGCCATATGACATTCCTTGACATTAGAAAATATTAATTTTAACTGAGAAATCTACTTTGCTGCTGTTGAGCATGTTACAGAACAGTAATAACTTCAAAAATTTTCATTCAGTTGAGAAGCTATTTTTGCCAGATATTGTCCCAACAACAAATCTGTTGCTTTAGAAAATAAGTCTGTCTTTACATTTGATGGTATCTTCCTTGGTACCTGCAGTAAACCATGATGATGAGATCATGACAACATGTGTGCACTGACATCATCATACAAATATTGCGCTTAGGCATATGACATTTGCATATTACATACTCACACACTTCATTGCACCTAGTACTCCCTCCAGAGATGCTGAGGGACATCTTCATTTAATATTATAAGTCCCACAAAAACATCTTAAATGTCTTGAACGTCTAAAAAGAGAATTTCCATTTTCACTATTACAGGAAACTTTTAACATTCTTTAGCAGCATGATGTGTTTTTTGAAAGTACAATATGAATCATCGTAGTCACAAAAAGGCCACAAATCCCCTCCCAGGTGCCCTGATGAATAAACTTAATTAGTTGTTCAGTGCAAAATGTCATTGCTCTGTAGTAAAAGTTCAAGAGGCAGTGTAGGCTAGGGTAGGCTATTTCAAACCTCCAGAATATGTCTTCTTCCCCTCCCCAAATAATTTTTTCCATACCCAGACATAAGTATAAAATAGGATGCAACATAAGAAAAGTCTATTATTCTCCAGGAGTCATGGGGTCTCTCTGACATTCAACTGAAGAGACGGAGTCTGTCTGTCTGTCTGTCTGTCTGTCTACCTATGTTAAAAAGTTTTTTAAAAGTTAAGCCAGGAATAAACACCAATGAAAAATGGGGGGAAAGAGAATTAGAACTAAAATGTTAGTCTGCTAATGTTTTGCAGTAATAAACATGGCAATTAATAATAGGATTATATATGTTTGGTTTTCCCAGGCACTGCAGAATTTTTAGAAAAGGCCAGGATTGTCTGTCTTTGAAAAAATATGTTTGCTAACCCCTTAGAATCTCCTTATTCTGTCATTTCATTTTTAGCCTAATATCAGTAACATTGTGAAAGAATCTACACACATTTTTAACTGGTTTCAATCTCTATTGTATTTTTAATTAAATGAAAGTTTCTTCAGGTACTTCCAGATAGTTTCAGGATTATAGCCAGTCTTTCTGAAAAAGCTAAGTATTAGATTCTGCTCCTTAACTACTTTAAATTAATAAACAGCACATGGGAATGTTTCTAGGTATTACTATTGACTTTCCAGCCAATAGTGCCAGTATGCTGAATGCCATTTAGTAGTGATAGATGTACTTGTTGGAGTATCATATTCAAGTATGAATGGTTTGTTAAAGCTTTGTAACTAGCACTTCTTATGTGAGATAAAGCTTGTTTTAGTTTTTAGATTTGTGGCTTCCATGACTGGTGAAGATGACTTTTTGAAGCACTCTTATTTTTAAGCTACCTTTAATAATGTAGTAATTTTAGTACTGCAGTTCCTGTTGAGAACATACTTCTTTGTAAACCTAACACTCATTGTTTTCTTCTTAATTCAGTGGGATGTAATTGGGTTCTGCTTATTCTGACTGCTAAATCCTTCATTTAGTATTATTTGTAGCAAATCTGATAAGATATAGTTTGGAACGCAAATATTTACTACATAGGAATGAGATCCATATAGAAAGGCATATTTTGTGATATGGGTTCATTGGAGTGGCAACAGTTGCTAGGAAAACTAAATTGCAAGGGAATAATTGCACATTTAACTATTTGTATGGAAGGCTAGTCATATGGAGTTTGATTGATACTTGTCCCATTTAGGGAATATGTTTACCATGAGTCTTGTTACAGTAGATCTGACACACACATAACAACTAAAACTGTTGCTTCCATGGAGCCAACTTCCTTTGACATTTCATCAATCACTGAAATGTAATATGAATTAAGGCACTGATCATTAGTACTCTTACAAATATTTGTAATGTACCTGTGGAAAGCTCTGAATCCAGTTTGGAAAATATTTTATTAAATCAAACTTACCAATAAAAGTTTTGGATCTGATATGATTATACTTTTTCCCCTTTTCCTGAACAGAAAGAAGAAGGGAAAATTCAAGGGCAGCTTAATATTTTTGACTCTACTCAGTATATTAGAGAACTGAAAGATCAGATAGCAGAGTTGAATCATGAGGTAAGTTATCAGTTTTGCTCACTTAAGTTCCTTTCCTGTAGCTTGAACCTGTACTTAAGTTTTGTTCTTTTTTCTGATTCCAGGTAATTATTCTATCAGCATTTTTACATTTTTCATTTAGTCACAAGGAAATACTAAACATGGATAATCTTGCTCTGCCATATATGAGGAAATGTCTTTTTGATAAAATCTAAGTTGATTGAACTTGCAGTTATTTGTAAGAATTCTGTACAGACTCTTTAGAGATTTAATACTTTTCATCAATAATATTGTAGCAGCTGACTTTTAAAACTGTGACTTTAAAATTGTTTGTCCTCTTTCTGATAGCAAAATGTATAGAAGTATAGGCTTTTAGGATAGTAAGTGCTACTTGCAGCTTAATTGATAGGATCATTTTAGTCATTTGCAAGTATTTAACTAGGGCAGCAATAAAATGTTGAGAAATATGAACATTTGAACTTCACTCTTAATAAATAGTGAATGGTAAGATACCAAAATGAATATGAATAGAATGCAGTCATACACGACATACACAAGAGTGGTAAAATGTATTGCTGTAGCTATTTCTGTTGGAGCCACATCTTTTAAAGTGTTATATTCCTGATGCGCTGTTAAAAAATCAGATAAAGAATGTGAGGTACCTAGAAATGAGAGCCAGTTTGCTCTAGTGGTTAAGGCTGCAGGCTAGAAACCAGGAGACTGTGAGTTCTAGTCCCACCTTAGGCATGAAAGCCGACTGGGTGACTTTAGGTCAGTCTCTCTCTCAGCCACCAACATCAGGCTCAGGCAATAAGCAGTCAGTCAATTTCTGTCGCAACCAACAGATCAACATTTGGTTGATCTGAAAAAAGTAGACCCTCCACATGCAGGAAAAACGCTAGGGGAAAAAAGTAAGGTACCTAGAATTTATGTAAGTTGCGAGACAGTGGAGAAGCTTATTTTGCCTTTAACAAAATATTACCCATAATCATTCTGGTACTTTTAATGATTGCTAAACTCACGTGGGAGAAATCAGTACGGAACCATCTTATTTTATATTTATTTATTTATTTATATGTCAAATTTATATCACCACCCAACTCCCCCACAAGGAGGGACTCTGGGCGGTTCACAACAAAACAATTTAAAATCTTATATTGCAATGCGCTCTACATGGGGCTACCCTTGAAAAGTATCCAGAAGCTACAGCTGGTTCAAGATGCAACCGTGCGGGCAATTTTCGGTGCCCCAAAGATGGCACATGTCACACCTTTGCTGCACAAGCTGCATTGGGTCCCAGTTTGCTTCTGGGTCCAATTCAAGGTGTCGGTTATCATCTTTAAAGCCCTACATGGCATGGGACTGGGTTACCTGAGGGACCGTCTCACCCCCATTGTATCAACCCATCCCACCCGGTCAAGCAGAGAGGGTATACTGTGGACCCCAATGACGAAAGAATGTCGACTGGCAGGGCCCAGAAGGAGAGCCTTTTCTGCCGTGGCCCCTGCCCTATGGAATACACTTCCCTCAGAGATGAGGCAGTCCCCTACTCTCTTGACCTTCTGGAAGGCAGTCTGCCAACTTGCATGGGGCGAGAAAAGGAGCAACCAACCCTGGGGGTGGCTTGCACCTTGAAGATGCTCCCATATGTTAATATCTTTTCGATCACCAGCATCTTGGAAGATATTAGTATTTATGTATGTATTTGGTTTTATTGTATTTTTATATTATTTTTATTCTATTTTAATTTATATTTATTTGTTGATTTTACTGCAAACTGCCCAGAGTCACTTCATCATGAGAAGGGCGTCTAAATCTGAAATATACATAAATAAATATTAATCTCTAGTCCAGCTACAAACATTTTAATTATTTACTTATTAAAATTATGTGGCTGTCCCTCTGTACAATGAAACTTTGGGCAGCAAATAGAATAAAAACATAATCCATAAAATCCCCAAAAGAAGCCAAAAAACCAATTTGAGCCCCCACCGAAAATCTCAGATCATACACAATGCATATTCACCCACATGGGAGCTCCCATAACTAATATCCTGGCCCCATTTGCATAGAGATATAGCTTACAAGTATATATATCATTTTTTGGACTAGAAACAGTGGTGATGGTGTAGATTCAGATATTGTCTGAAAAGAATTTGCATCAATCTACATCTGCAATTTCTTTCCATTCCTTTGAATGGAATATGCACTGCAGCGTGTGTCCGGGCACATTCTTATATAAGTTTTGGATTAGAACTCTAGTGCACTCTAGTGTATGTGTGTGTATGCACCTGCAGCTTTCAAATATGAAAGAGAATTCTGTGTGTGATACTTCTCGTTGCATTTTAAATAATGTGAAATTATTTAGAATTTAAACTAATGTACATGCATATATATATATATATAGAACAGCCTTTCCCAACCTGTCTGGACAGTAACTGGTTTTAAAAGGTGGATAATAGTATACAGGTGGTCTCCAATTAACGACCATTCATTCAGGGACCATTCAAACTTATGACAGCACTGAACGAGTGGTACTTATGGCTGGTCCTTGTACTTACGTCAGTCACAGCGTCCCCAAGGTCATGTGATCATGATCCAGGTGCTCAGCACCTGGCTCCCAATTATGACATCGCAGGATCCACAGTCACATGATCGCCATTTGCAACCTTCTTTACTGGCTTCCTACAAGCAAAGTCAATGAAGAAGTCAGCAGGAGGTCGCAAATGGCAATCACGTGATGTCCTCACTTAATGGCAGCAACCAGAAGTGCCAGAATTTCCATCGGTAACCAGGGTGGTCACATGCCATCGCACTTTACAACTGCATCACTTAGCGACAGAAATTCCAGTCCCATCTATCATCATTAAGTGAGGACCACCTGTAGAAGCAAATGTGGCCAAATTACAGCATTACATTTCTGGTGAAGATCTAGCTTAATGGATATATAACGAAAATTCAAATCTTAATAGTAAAAACTATATATGGCTATTTAAAATTTAATACTACTTATTCCAGAACATTAACTTTTTATGGCATTTCTCACCTTTGGATGGTTTTCTTGCCTTCCTCATAATATCTGCTGCGACATATATAATCAGGAAAAAAAATAAACACTTTTTCACCACTACTTGGTAAGACCTCTGTTGAATCAAACGGTGCCATTTTGTAAGCTATGTAGTAAATCAAAGCAGATTCCCCAATTTTAATGTATTACTCAGTTGAATAATAAAATAAATAAAAACCTTATGGAATTATTTATAATCTGTTTGAAAGCTTGAAATGAGCCAGAGCATTTTAATTTAATATTTCAAATATGGCAATATCAGTGCTACATGCACACCCCTAACTGTATAGCAGGTTCATGTTAGAGGACGGAAAAAAAAATTTTGCTCATTCCTCGAGGCCACAATCTCTCAGGAAAAGCAACAGTAGCTATGATGACAATAATGGGAAAAAAACTTGTCTAAAAATCAGTGTAAGCTTTTTAGTCTCAAGAAGCCTTTAACAAGCAAGTTGATTGGTGGTGATAAAGGGAGTGGATAAAACATATAATCCACCTTAAAGTCATTGTTATACCAAGTAACATAGCAAATTGGGTCTTATCAGGTGCAAAGTAATGTTAGGTAGCAATAAAGACTCTGCCAAAGCTTGTTGGGAAGAAACAAGCAAATGCTTATATATTGCCCATTTCGGAAAATATAAATTCTAGCTGTTAAAGTCAGAATCCCTCAAGAGGAATATTTTGGGACTGCATTACATGACAATAGTAGGTAGAGTTGAAACAAATATCAATGATATAAGTATCTGTCTATAAGTACTGTCAGACCTCATCTTGCTGACATATTGAACCCAAACAAGGTCAACCAGGTCTTACCACCTGCTAAGGCAGCAAGGATATGTAAAATAACTGAAATATCTATAGACTTGAAACTGTCCAAACAAACTTCTTGTTTGTTTTTCCAGCATTCAATAAATGCCACACTATGTCAGGACTATGTAGTATACTATAACATAAACCACAGTGCCTACATCTCATTAGTTGGGCACCCTTGTAAAGCAGCTTCCTAAAAAAAAATTGATTTAATGACCTGCATCCACAGTCATCTTTTGACTGTGAAGTATACACTATCAATTATCATAAACGTTAACGTGAGCCTGCAGCTTTGCCCCTTTTACTCTCATAGAAAAACAGGTCTCTTCAGGAAGATACCTTGATTCATCCGGGTCTCGAAAAGATCAAATCCAAGCTAGAAAAGATATTTATTACTATTGTTCTCTCAGTTGTATTATTTCTCAATTTATCAAGTGCCTTAAGAGTTTGCACCATTTGCATATGCTCTGCATTCCTGAACAGTTGTTTTGGCTTCCTGTTGGATACTCTGAGGAACGAATGTGCTATGTAGATTAGAGGAGTGGGATATAAGATTAGAATTGATAAGATTGCCCACAGACTACATTGGCAAACCACAACGTTTCCTGGGACGGAGAAGGAAGGAATAGTGCTTTCCAGTTATAGAATGAAGAAAAATCCTGGATTTGCAGGGTGTTTGTGACTGTTGCATTATGAGCTGTTTTTAGATCCTCTCCTTTTTTATTCTCTGGTGATATTTCTTTATATAGCAATAGTAGTTAGTTTTTATACAGTAAATGCAATGGCAATACTGTATCTGGTTTGTAATCTTCTCTGTTAGGAACAGCCACTTTTCTCTGTAGTGTTTTTTTTGCATAACTCATCTATGCCTTCTGTTTCACGTACCCTCAATTTGAAGCATAGTTAGCTTCTTTTTAAAAAGGTATTTTCCTATAAAGAAATAGGAATTTGATGCAATACCATATTTTTAAAATAAATTCATATCTGTTGGTATGTTACACTTAACCTCTATGAATAACAGTAGTTGAATGATATTAACCTTATGTGGCCTTTTTATATTTCATGTCTGTAAGCAATAAGGCTTAGGTTTGTTTGTTTTTTTTAAAAAACAGTTCTTAATTTATTGTGACTTTAACCATCCTTTTGATGCAAGCAGAATGTACAGCACAATTTTATTATCCCCAAAGAGCCTCTTTCCAATCTTGAACTTGAATTATTCTTCTGCCTGGC